TCTCCTTTCACCTTTTTTGAAGATCAGATAGTTAAGATCCTTGGTCTAATTGAGCAAAATAAAACACCTGAGGATGTCTCTGCAAATATGGCAGGTAATTTTAATCCTCTTAGATCAGGTTGGATCATTGACTCAGGTGCTAATCAACACATGACCTATAATACCTCTTTTTTAAATAATGTTGCTGACGTTTCTAACCTTGATCTTAGAGTTAGTCATCCTCACGGAACTAAAGCTAAGATAAAAGAAATTGGAGATTTTAAATTGTCCAAAGATGTCACTTTATTTGATGTGTTGGTTGTCCCTGACTTCAATGTCAACTTGTTACCTGTTCATAAACTTGCCAGAGACAACAAAGTGTTTGTAGGATTTGATGAATCTAAATGTTATGTTCAGGATTCAACTCAAAGGAATATTGTGGGGACTGGTAGCCAAGAGGGTGGCTTATATTATTTTGATCAAAACAATTGTCAGTCTAACTATCATACCTCTCAAATGAATGTGTCTTGTCTTGTGTCTGCCTAACTATGGCACAGTCGGTTGGGTCATCCTGTCATTCAATTCTTAAATGTTTTAAAACAGGCTCTTACAAAAAATATTGGCAATTGTGGCTCGTGTGAGATCTGCCATAAGGCAAAACAAACTAGAGAAAAATTTGAAACCTGTGTCTATAAATCCAAAGTTCTAGGTGAACTTGTTCATCTTGATGTTTGGGGTCCTTATAGGATCCAAAGTAGGGAAGGTTACAAGTATTTTCTTACTATAGTTGATGATTTCACACATGCTATTTGGGTTTTCTTATTAAAAGGAAAACATGAAGTTGTTGATGGTGTTATAACATTTTACAATTTACTTGCAAATCAGTTTAACAAAACTGTTAAGGTTTTTAGAACTGATAATGGTTCTGAGTTTTTAAGTCACAACTTAAGTGATTTTTTAAAATCCAACAATATAGTGCATCAAACTTCTTGTGTTTACACACCCCAACAAAATGGGGTGGTTGAAAGAAAACACCGACATTTGTTAAATGTGGCTAGGGCTCTTATGTTTCAGGGAGGAGTTCCCTTGAACATGTGGAGTGAGTGCATTCTCACGGTTACTTTCTTAACAAATAGAACTCCTTCCTCTATTTTGAGTAGTAAGTGTCCCTATGAGCTTGTATATGGTTTTAAGCCTGTTTTATCTCATCTTAAAAAATTTGGGTGCCTTTCTTTTGTTGTCATACCTAATGTTTCTAATCAATTTTCTCTTAGATCTGAAAAATGCGTTTTACTTGGGTAAGCGAGTTCAAAGAATTACTTGGGTATGCGAGTTCAAAGAAAGGATATAAACTTTTTAGTTTAGAATCTAAAAAATTTGTTATCTCAAGAGATGTCAAATTTTATGAACATATTTTTCCATTCAAGATGACTATGAATAGAGTTGAGGAAAAGGAAAATGATGAATTAATCACCTAAATTTCTTTAACCTTGTGGATGGTTCTTCTAATGATTTTGCGGATATTCTGCCCAATGATGATAATAGAGACAACGTTGAAAATCACTCTGATCTAGTCCCTAATAATAGAACTTTAGGTAGCCGAAAAAGAGCTGCCAATGAGAAGCCTCTAGGTAGCTCGAATGAGTGTCTTAATCAAGAGTCTTTAGTTAATACTGAACATAATCTTGAAAGAGTTACCAGATGGCAACTCGTGAGTAGTACTGAACAGGCTGCCAGTTCTACTAGAACTCGATTCTAAGGGTACTCAAAGTACTCCTTCTAATTTAGGTCAAACTAGTAGAAAGTCTACTAGAGTTCCTATTTTTCCACAAAAATTTAATGATTTTGTTGTTGAGGGTAAGGTCAAAAATGGTTTGGAGAAAGTTATGAATTATTCTTATCTGTTTTCAGAAAACCTATGTTTTCAAATTTAAACAAATCTGTTGAACCTAAAAAATTTCGTGAAGCTTGTACTGATATCAATTGGATAAATGCTATGAATGATGAGATGAAAGCTTTACATAGAAATAATATTTGGGTTTTAACAGAATTACCTAAAGGTAGAAAACCTATAGGGTGTAAGTGGACTTGCAAGATAAAATATAAATCTAATGGTGAAATTGAAAGATACAAAACTAAGTTTGTAGCTAAAGGTTACAGCAAAAGAGAAGGTCTTGATTATGATGAGACCTTATCCCCTGTAGTTAAAATGGTAACTGTGCATTATATTTTATCTTTAGATGTTCAGTATAACTGGAGTTTATATCAACTTGATGTGAATAATGTTTTTTATACGATGATTTAATTGAAGAAGTTTACATGACCTTGCCTGAAGGATATTATAATGTTAATGATAATCATGTATGTAAGCGTGTTAAATCATTGTATGGCAAGCTCCACGACAGTGGTATGCTAAACTTTCGTCATGTCTTGTTGAGCATGGTTTTGTCTAAAGCATAAATGACTACTCTTTGTTTACATTGAAAAATAAATTTGTTTTCATTGTCTTATTAGTATATGTGGATGACATTGCTATCACTGGAAATGATCAGTTTGAAATTAACAAAGTCAAGGATTTCTTGAAGAGTAAGTTTTTAATAAAAGATTTAGGAAAGTTAAAATTTTCCGTGGAATTGAAATTTTAGATTGTATAAATGGAATTTGCATGACTCAAAGAAAATATTGTTTAGAACTGTTGAATGAGTTTGGATATTTGGGCTGTAAACCTTGTAATACTCCAATGGATAAAAATCTAGTTGTTTCAGATTCTAGTCATAGTAAAGATATTCCTTTATCTGATTATAGAGGATATTAAAAGTTAATTTGAAAATTAATATATCTTCTTGCCACTAGACCTGATATTGCTTTCGATGTTCATTGTTTAAGTCAATATATGCATTCTTTTAAACAATCTCATCTGAATCTTGCACTTAGAGTTCTTAGATATTTGAAACTGTGTCCCGGAAAAAGTGTTGGCTTTACTAAATCTGATCAATTTTCTTTGATTGTGTTTGTTGATGCTGATTGGGGTAAGTGTCTATCCTCAAGACGATCTGTTACTGGTTTTTGTCTTTTTCTTGGTAATTCAATGATATCTTGGAAAAGCAAGAAACAAAGTAATGTTTCTCGCTCTTCTGTTGAGTCTTAATACAGAGCCATGGCTTCTGTTGCATGTGAAATTTTATGGGTTCTTAAAATTATTAGTGATCTTAATATCATTGATTTATTACTTGTTTCTGTATATTGTGACAATAAATCAGCTATACAAATTGCAAATAATCTTGTCTTTCATGAAAGGACTAAACACATTGAAATTGATGTTCATAAAATAAGATACAACATTAGCAAAGGTTTGATAAAAATTGTAAAAATTTTATCTTCTGAACAACCTGTTGATATATTTACAAAATCTCTTGGTATAAATCATCATAATTACTTATGTTTAAAGTTAAAGATGATTGATTTATTCAAAACTAAAGATTGAAGGAGGGTGTTAAAATATATGATAATTTGCTATCTTAACTTTTGTTATTTGGTCTTTTATATTTGAGGGACTGGTTCTGTCAAAGGATGAAAGTCATGGATTCTAAATTTCAAGTTGGAGGACTGCGCCTCACATATGGGAGAACTTCAAGGGTAGCGGAAGTCGTTTGATGAATTTTCAGGGACTAATCTTGTTATTTCTCCATTCATTTTTAAAGGTCTCTAACCGGGTTTCTTCATTCATTCAATACATTTTTTTCATTTTTCATTTCATATATTTTCTCTCTAGCTCTCATTAGGTTCTAGTCTGTTTTAGGCTATAGCTTTATGTAGTTAGGGTTTCTTATTTTGTAATATTGTATGAATCCTTCTTATGAGAATATTGCTTTATGCCTTTGAACACTTCTTCCTTGGGCTCATTATCATCAAAATAAGCTTTTATGATCACCCGTTTTCAATGTCTCTTTCTTGATATGCTTCTCTTTCTTTATTTCTTTTCTTCCCGATTGACTTTAATTTTCATTCATTTGATGTGAGCAATCATTAATTAAATACAGTGCCTTCAACACCTGCATGGATGATTTGCAGAAAAACACATACCAAAAAACATAAAAACCATTCCTAATTAAAAGAGATACAAACCATGAGAAGAGATAAATAGGGAAAAAAATGCATTAGAACATTAAACTAAACATTAATATGCACAAAAAGTGCAACTAATTTGTCTACACAAAGTTGGGTATATATATAAAATGTACTTAACCATGACCATAGTTGATTATATATAGGACATAGCCACGTCATACTAAATGAAAAACTTTTACCTATGGACTTTTACGTATGCTTACGGACTTTCCCATTGCTAAGGGGTGATTCGTTACAGAACTGTCACAAAAGTTGGTGGTAATTCAATCCAGTGACATTACTCATGTATTTTATTGGATTCTACCGGAAACATTGGTATTTCTGGCCATTATCCGTCAGTAATCATCGGCAGAAATTTTCCCGGTTGATTTTTTTGATTGAAAGTCAATTTGTTATCTAGTGTTGGGGTTTTGTTGTTTTATATATATAAGTTTCTTACAATCAACACAAAATACAAAGCACACAATCAAATAAACCCAAAATTAAGTTGTTTCAAAAACCTTTTAATTTGCCCAAAAGAATTAAGTGCTTGTATATAAAACCTTTTAGTCATCAAATCATTTTAGCATGTATTTGTATATAAACACCCCTTGTACTATATAGAAAATATTACATCCTCTTTTATGCAAGTATATTTTGCCTTCAAGGGTAAAGGGTTTATAGCTCGAGATAGAATAACTTGGGACATGGAAAACAGGTACACCTAGGCCCTAGCTTCTCAACCTATGATAATTACGAGGCAATAAAACATAATTGGTGTGTATATAATCCACGATGAGAATTAAAGTCGCCCAATTCACCGGATTACATGAAAAAAGCATATATAAGTAAAATAATAAAGAATATATATATATATATATATATTATATTTATATTTAAAATATTGTGAATTCTCAAACCCCCAATCCTGCTGTATACTTGACTCCAGTGGATGGCAACCATGAGTTTCCTAACAGGAATTCTGCCACAGTGAAGTTGTTGGCCTGGGTGGAGTCATTGATGGCATGAAGACCAGGCCAAGTGATGCGACCTCCTAAGCCAGCCCCTGGACCATAGTTCATGTACTCCCCATAGTAAAGAGTATCCAAAGCGAAATCACCGTTCCATTCGAGCCAGCCTTCAGGCCTAATAAGACCACTCATGTATGATTGCATGAAGATGGTCCGAGAATATAGCTTCCATGGGCGTCCAAGGTATGTGGATATACTGGAATTAATCAAATCAGGTTCCACGGATATATTGGAAAATTGGATAGAAAAGCCTGAGGGCTGAGTTGGTTCCTTTCGGCCCTGGGCTGTAATGGTGTTCTTTTGATTTGGAAGGCCTTTCCTGGCTAAGATTTGACAATTCTGGAACACCACAGCTCCGTCTCCAAATATGAAATCAACCGTGCCGGTGATCAAACATTCTCTGTAGAATTGGCGCATGGAGTGAGCATACAGAGTGTCTTGGTAGCCGGTGATACCACACCGGAAAACAACTGAAAGATCGGAATCAGATCGAAATGCAACGGCTTGGTGCTTCTCAGGCCCTGCCGTGTTCTCAAATCTCATATCTCGAGCTATAAACCCTTTACCCTTCACAGCTGTCCATGTATGCATATATGCACTAGTTAGCCTTCAGTTGATTCATGAGATATGTACGTGTGTGTGTGTATATATATATATACATATATAAACTCATACACACACACACCCCTACACCACTTTTAGTAGATTTATCCGGATTTCATATATATAAATATATTTTTAATACACATGAATCCACTAAATTGATCTTTAATTTATGATACATATTTGAAGCTAATTTATTTATATTTTGCATATGTTTTTTTTATTCTAACAAATAATTTAATTTTAAAAGAAATTATTTTTTATATCTAAAAATACATTTTTTTAATTCAAGCTTACCATATATTAACCATTTTTTTATTAAAAAATTATTTATACGATTGCAATTGATGACCTCACTTTATTATAGAAAGCTAACTAAAACTATATGAAAAGAGAAAGTGCATTCAAAAGTTTCATAGCCGTGGTTCATTGTCTGGTTTCTGAATTTAATAATCAATTTAAGTGATGAATAAATTAACCATTTCAATATATATATATATATATATATAGATATATATATATATAGATGATGACAATATATCAGTTGCTGAACTGCGTACGTACCAAATGTAGCAGAACGATAGGTGGTCCAACCGTCCACGAAGCTATGGTTACCGGAAATTATGGTAAGGTCCATGCCATCACCAATCATCATGATGTTGGTTTTCTTCTTACTGATCTCCACATACTCCCTGTATATACCTTTCTTTACATAGATCACATACCGGCGGCTGTTGTAATCTGGGACTGCAGAGACGGCATCCATCACCGTTGTGAAGTTGCCGCTGCCATCTGCCGCCACTACCACATCAGCTGCTATGTTGGCTTGGAGAAGTTTCCTGTCTTTTGATTTTAGCCATCCAGGAGTAGCATCAATGCTCCGGAGCTTCCTCCTCCCAGATGGAACCTCATGAGCAATAGCTGTCGGAAGTTGGCGTACCATCCCGAGGATATCACTCACTAACGAGGTGACCTGTTCAAGGCTACCGGCTACCAACGTCTTTACAAAGCTGTTTGTACCGTCGAATCCATCCATGCAGGTGTCTTGATTACCCAATGCCCCGCCAAGCCACGTCCTCATATCAGCGCCTTTGTTACCGGTGCTGTTATATTTGCCTTGAATAAAACCATGCAAACACATCATGAGTTGACTCAAGTTAATAATTATATCTAGAGAAATTAAAAGGATGGAAGTGTGGTAGGTACCAGCGGTGGGGTTCTGGGAGGCGGAGAGAGTCCATGTGAGTTCATCAGCAGAGAAGTCGAGGAGATCAAGGCAGTCAGCAATGGCATTAGAAAGTCGGAAATCCCCGCCAAAAGCACCGCTGAATTTGGAGACGATGGAGATGACGTCTCGGACCGTTTGAATGGTAGATTTGACAGAATCCACAAAATCAGATCCGTCAACCTTCAAGCAATCGGCGTCCACAAAGACACTAGTGCTATTGTAATTAGCAGCAAGTACTGTGGGATAGCAAAGAGCAGAAGATACAAGTAGTACTATTATCAAGAAACAAGGAGGAAGAGCCATATAGTACTTAATTAGATTTGGAATTGAATTGAAGAAGGATGATACGATCAGTTTTAGTTATAGGACGGACGTCGATAGACCACCTCCAAATTTAATGACTAGGACTATTATGCAAAGAAAGAGAGTGGGTGGGTGGGGTAAAATTTAATGGGTTTGGGAGACAGGTGGGTGATATTTAATGCAAGGGACAGGAGACGATGATGATCGATCAGAAATGGTGTCACCGGGTACTTGCTCCGGGAGAATTCTTTTTATTGCGTTCCAGCTAGCCGATATATATACTCACCTTTTCGATCCTTTAGTAAATTATTAACCTTTTTTCCTTTCCATTTTACTTCCTTGTCCTCTAAGCTCTCTCTCTCCTCTCCCTCTCCCTCTCTCTCCTTGGTTATGCATTGGTATAAAGCTATATATATGTATATATATATATATATATATATATTACATAATGTCAATCAAAGTTACGTGTATATATATATATATATATATATATATGATTCTCTTCTGTCCTCCATTATTATGTCTTTTATTCCATTTCTTTTGGACAACAGTCACCATCTTTTCCTCTCATGGGGGTTATGCACGGTGGTTTGGTGCTGCTTTTGGTCATCACTCGATAAAGAAAAAGCTTGTAGTACGTATTTTACTTTAGCATAACAACATGTTCCTTCATAGGCATCATTTTTCCTTTACTTATTTCAAACACCAGGTCATGTTCTCTGTAAAATTAAATGATGTCGCCAATACTAATTATATATATGTGTGTGTGTGTACACACACATTGTTAAAGACAACTACACACAAATTAAATAAACATAAACAAGTTCAGTCATGGTCACTTATCTAAGGAACTCGATTAATATATATCAGCTTATACAAATATCCATCATATCTTGAATATAAAGCTCTCAAGAAACCATTAATTAGTGTTCGATCAAACTTGGTTCTATGGAGTCTTTTAAACTAATTGATGGTGTGAGACTCGTCAACAACATAGGAAATGTCCATATTTAGAGCTAGACAGATTATCGAAAGAGATGTTAAGAACTCAATCATCAAAATTGTTAGGATTGAAAGATGAAGGAATCCGTAGAAAATGAACATGGATGGAGCCAAATATTGGTGGAGCCGCTCTTTGTATTGGAACTGTGGATGTCGATTGGAAAGAAAAATAAACATATTTATACGTATCACTAGTTTGCATGAGTGACATAACTGAGTCATAATCCCCCCCCCTCCAACCAAACTTCGTTTGAAAATGAGAGTGTGAAAACGTCCTTGAAGATTATCAATTGAAGAGTTAGGAAGGAGGTTGATAGTCTTGTATCCGCACCATATGTTGGTGATTTTAGTGTCACCAGACTATTTAAGTATAATTGGGAGTAACATCGAGTTCTAAGGGGGCTTTATATTGTGTTCTAATACAAGTCAAGAGGTGCGGAGTACACACTTGTTATAAGACAAGTATGACCTTGTTGGGAGTTAAGGGGTAGCACCCCTTACATTATGGTGGAAAACAATCATAAGGACCAGAGGGGCTCTCATCGGCCTTGCTTGTTAAGGAAGGCCTTAAGTCTTGTTAAGGAAGGCCTTAAGTCTAGTTGTTAAGGACCAGAGGCTATGGTTGGTAAGACCAGAGGCTCCGGTTCCTTGACTCGGGTTGTTAAGGTCCAGGGAATCTGGCTCTGGCCTACCTTGCCTCTGGTTGTTAATGTCTAGAGGAGTTCTGGCTCTGGTTTGCTTTGCCTCTGGTTGTTAAGGATCGAGGCTCTGGTTGGTAAGACCAGAGGTTCATTGCTTTGATTGCTAAGACTTGCCTTTGGGTGGTAAGACCAGAGGGTTTCTAGTCCTACTTATGATTGCTAAGACTTGGCTGTGGTTGGCTCTGGTCCTTAAGGACCAGAGGGGCTCTGATTCCTCTTGTCTCTAGCTTTGTAACACCCCAGGATCCACATTTGCATATATTCATGTATTGCATATATCAAGAAATACAAATACACATTCGGTCACAAATATATACAAAAGTTACCTTATAAAAGTAGCTACCAAATTTTTCCACAATAACTCTATACAGAACTTGTACTCATAATCCAGAATGTAGGTGCAAGTTACAACACATTATCCCCAAAGCCATAAGTAAACAATCATATACTTCTTCATAGATTCCCTTTCTCATATCAACTGGTTGATTGACCTGTAATGCACATTTTAAAACACCAAAGATGAGGGTTAGACCTTGAGGTCTAGTGGGAAATCCCTTTTATGCAATTACAGGGTGAATATCACCAAAACCCTTTTATAAAACTCTCATTTGTAATAAATGTTATAAAATGTTTTTAAAACACAAACCTCTTTTGCCACATCAAACCCCAAAATACCCATTTTATCGCATAACACATGATGCTCAACATTTCATAAACAAACCATAATTTCCTCATAACACCTTGGGTGAGACAATTCCATTTCCTCGCAATACACTGGTATGGGAATCCATCTCAGCACAACACACACTGGGTGAGACTACCCCATTTCCTCGCAACACGCTAGTGTGAGAATCCATCTCATCGCAACATGTTGGTGCGATCACAACACACTGCATCGCATCAAAGCTCAAAGTAAGACCAACCAGATCCCCTCTTGATTCACAACCAAAAACAAGGCCACCATTAAGTCTAGAAGAGTAACTAGAGCCTCTGGTTCTAAAGACCATACCCTTTGCTCCACAAGCATTCAGGGCCAGAGGCATGACCAACTAGAGCCCCTCTGGTCCTTAAGGACCAGAGTCTAGAGGCAAAGGACCAGAGCCTTTCTGGTCTTACCAACTATAGGCAAAGCTAACCAAAAGCAAGGCCAACCAGAGGCCCTCTGGACTAGGGGGTGCTCATGGTTTGGGTTGATCGACTTGAAGACATTTGAACAACCTAACCCAATGCTTGTGGTTTGGAAAATCTTAACCCAACCCAAACCAACCCAAACGAAAGTGCAACTCAACCCAACCCAAATCGTACGGGTTGGTCGGGTTGATACTTTGGTACATTAAAATATTCTTTTAACCTTAAATATGTTATTTCTCTACTTATAATTTCTTTTTCATCATCAACCATTTGATACAATTTATCCATACTTCTTACATATATCACATTCAGTTAATTTTCTCAATTTATGTATATATGTTTACAGTTACTGAACATATATATGAATGAGTTATATAGAGATCTGAATAGATTGAAAAGATGTGTATATGAAGAGCGTGCGTGATAGTGTAATTGTCTAATATATATGTTAACATAAATTCAACAATCACATTAAATCCAAGAAATAAAAGAGTATCGGGTTCATCGGGTTGTGTTGGGTTCAAATAATAGTAACCTAATATCAACCCAATACCTACGGTTTGAAAATTTTACAACTCGATTAGACATCGGGTTGCTTCGAGTTGAGCTATTTCGCGTTGGGTCGGGTCGGGTTGGTCGGGTTTTTGAGCACCCCTACTCTGGACGACTAGAGCCCCTCTGGCCAACCAGAGCTTCTGGTCTTACCAACCAAAGCTTCTGGTCTTATCAACCAGAAGTAAAGTCAATCTAAAGGCAAGGCCAACCAGAGCCCCTCTAGACACCAGAGCCTCTAGGGACAAGAAATGGTTAAACACTTGAAAAGAACTTGGATTTCAAATACAACCAGAGGCCCTCTAGTTAAACATGAAGACCAACCAAAGCCCCTCTAGTTCCTCAACAACTGTTTATTTTATCAGAACCACAACTTAATACCATAGGCCATCTGGTTAAACATGAAGATCAACCAGAGCCCCTCTAGTTCCTCAACAACTGTTTATTTTATCAAAACCACAACTTATCACATTACTAGGATACAACAACCCTAAGTCCAAGGATCATACAGAAACGATAACTCAAGGTCATCACATCACAAGGATGCGATAACTTCTCATCACAACACACAGATTTCACAACTCATGATTATGCCACCCTTGTCCTGGTATACGACTCTCCTTGATATGCCACCCTTATTTCCACACATGATATAATCATGATAAAAAAATCCACCCTTTTGCAAATGGCATCAAACTGTTTTATTTCAAAATCTCATATAAAGAACCATGCAGTTCTTATACCCAATTTCCAAATAAAGAAAGTTTTAAACAAAAACTCACCATCATGCTAAAAATAGCATCCATAAACAGTTTTATCATCAATCTCACCTAAGAACCATACAACTCAACTTTCAAATATCAAATAAGGAAAGTCAATGAATTTAAACTCGCCATCACACTAAAAATAATACATAATCGTTCAAAAACACCTAAGTACGAAATCATATCAAATGAAGCTTTTAAAGTAAATCTTACAATTAAAAACTCACCGTGATTCATAAAGAAGTAGATAACAGCAACAGAGATTCAAGAAGAAATCAGAGAAATTAGCTTCTACTTCCCCCTCCTTTTTGGTTCTGCTTTTCTCTCGAACTCAAGAACACTCAGAAGCTTTTCTTTCTTTTTTCCACCAAAATCAATGAGATAAGATAAAATATTTTATCACTCTTTTAAACAAAGCATAAGGCAGTGGAGGTTTTTAAAACATTTAAGCACACTCTCCCATGAGATAACACAAATATCTCATATAAAACAAATATAAACCATAAGAGGCGATGAGGGAATTTAAAAATCATTTAAGCACCTACAAAAATTAAACCCTCAACTTACCACTATTATTTAAAATCAACCCTAAACTTCGTAATCGAAAAACTGGGTTATCACAGGCTTCATGTCTGGAACGGTTAGAACAGTTTTATAACTGTGCACTACCATTAATGGACAGTTTTATAACTGTCTGTTACTTTTAATATGCAATTTTATAATTGTCCACTAATCCTAAAATTGAGCCATGATTATCATTTCGGTTATTTTTATGAGTATAAATATCATTTATGTTTATGTTTATGAACACGGGTTTTTGAACAATCTAATATACACTCCAACTAGTTTGCTCTCATTTTTGTGCCTAAAAATGAAAGTGCTCACTTGAGTCTTATACAAGATTGAATTTCGTGTAACCCAGGCATAGGGTCGAAATATCAATTCGGAAAGTGTTATTTACACGATTCTCAAATAATCCGGTTTTTGATCGTCCAACCCCTTTTTTTTGGTTCTATATAGAATTTCCCTAACAATCGAGTTGATATTTTGTGATGTCGATCATGGTCGGATTCTGTGAAAGAGATGACCTCGAGGTTCGGGAAGCTAGAAAAGTTTGAAGGAGTTGATATTAGACACTGACAGAAGAAGATGCATTTTCTCCTAACGA